ACTTGTGGTGGTGAGAGTGGGGGTGGGGGTAGGGGTAGGGGTAGGGGTACTCTATTGGTATCAAAGCAAATGTTAATAATGGGCTCAGGCATCTTCAAAAACCAATATTCCTAAAATTAAATCATCTATTACCCAGTATTTGTTGCTGGTGGGAGGTGATACATATCGTGTGAAATTAGTTGAGGTGTGCGCAAGCTGGCCTGGATACTATAGTTATCAAAAAATAAATTAAAAAATGCAGATTACCACAAAGTTACATGGTACTTGTGCTGGTGAGAGGTAGTAGGAACTCGTGAAAATAATCGAAGTATGTGCAAGCTGACTCGAACACCATGTTTATTTAAAAAAGACACCTAGAGGTTCTTATTTTTGTTTTACTAGTAAATAGGAGCATTGATTTTTCATTAGGACCTTTTGAAGCTTGATAGTGTTACAATCATCAGCCTAGGAGATGTTAAAAATTTTACTTTCGAAGTTTTAGACTGTTTTTCCTTGAGCCAGGGGTCTATTGGAAACATCTTCTCTATCTCTGAGGTAGAGGTAAGGTCCGCGTCACTCTACCCTCCATAGACTCCACTTTGTGGGACTACACTGGGTATGTCGTTGTTGTATACTGTTTTTCTTTTTATCTCTTAAACCAGAGATGTAATCTCTCTTTTTTTTCTACTAGTCAGAATGAACTTTCTTGAGAAGATGGATTTATCTCTTTGGGATCCACCTGAAAATCAAGGTTTGATATTCTGTTGTTACCTTAATTGGATTTTCAATATCTTTTGGTAGTGAAAGTGTTGAAGTAGATGATTTCTTTAGTCTACACAGATGAAAGCAGTTATCCAAGTTGGGAGTATAACTTGTATTTCGATCCGAGGCTTGGTAAGTTCATAATATTCACATATATAGATCTTTTAGTGTCAATTTTGATCGACATACCTCATCTGTTTGAATTGATTCTATGTCATAGACGTGATCGAGGCAGATGCTTTAAACAAGAAATCATGTCTGCAAGTGTTGGAGATACAGGCAAACAAAGCTGATTCAGAAATTGGAGAACTTGAAGATGATAAACTTATGATCCAGAGACAACTTGCCTGTGAAGATAATATGGGTTTTGCTGCATTGAATAACCTGGAGAGCATGCTAAAGCCTTTAAAGAATGAGAATCAGCAGGTTTGCTTTTTGAAACTGTCACATGTTCTTATTTGTCGACTTTAGTCGCTACATGCTCTTTAGGTAATACCTATGTTGCTAGCTAGGACTCTTCAAAACTGTCGTTGAGTGTGTGACAGATCCTCCAAAAGTAGTGTATTTTTAGAGGATCCAACACGTGTGCGGCAATACTCTCATGTTTTTATTTGTTCACTTTAGTCGATACATGTTCTTTAGGTAACACCTATGTTTCTCAGACTCTTTAAAAATGTCACAGGGTGAGTGTCAAATTCTCCAAAAGTAGTGCACTTTTGGAAGGATTTGTCATAGGTGCGACAACATTTGTTGTGATGTATAGTAGATATTGAATCCGCCTGCCTTCTTTGTGTGTTCACTTTTGTATATTTAAATCTTTTTAGTGAAAATTCTGGCTCTGCCACTGCCAGAACCTCCTGATATACTATTTTGTCAACTTTTATTTTAAAAACAACAGCTTGCAGAACCTAAAATACTTGCATTGTTTAGAAGTTCTCAATTAAAGTTCAAGCACAAACTACTTAAAGATGATGTCTTTCGTTGTTTTTTTGCGATATTTGAATGAAAAACAACTAAAATGTTCTTTGATAGCTTGCAGGAACAACTCTAGCGGAGAGACATGCTGCACAACAAGCAACCAAAGAATATAGCAGCAAATCAACAGTGAATGGAGTGAAGGCTGTTCAGATTAATGATCCATCTGGAATGAAGGGACAAGAAGTGGTGCATGCTGGAACTGTTCGTACTATAGAAGGCACACGACTGCGTCTATTGAATTCTATAAGAGGTGACAGAAGCAATCCACAGAGAAAGTTAATGGGTGGAGGTGAATACTACGGTGACAACACTATCAGGGGAACGCAACAACATCTGGCTGGAGCCAAAAGAGCTGGTGGTTTTGCAGGCATTAGTGCAACTTCTCAGTTCCACTTTAGAAGGAGGAGCGAAACAAGTTTTTGTGTACCAGTCGTCCAAGAGAATAACAATCAGAGGAATGCTCAAAATATGTTGGTAAGATCACATGACAGAACAAGTCAAGCGCCTCGGAATGTTCATAATGTTGAAGTTGTTTTTCCCATGCGGATTACCCCAGCATCTTGTATGGCATGTATCGATAATATGTCACTGGTTCAACTCAAGGCCTTGGCTAATCAACTCAATATAGTTGGGGTGTCCAAAACTCGGAAGGCTGACCTGCAACAACTGCTTCGCTCTAAGCTGCAAGCTCAAGATTGGTCATGACAACAATCTCTCTATTCTTTTAATTTTCAGTCTTATATGAAGTAAACATAGGATGGTTTCCGAATTCTTTTGTGAAGGAGAACAAGAATCAATAGAGCACTATATGCTAAAGATAAAACGTAAACTATCAAATGAGCTGCAATAACTTCTTCTCTATATAGCTGCAGGCTAAAAGATTGGTCATGATAGCAATTGTCTATTCTTTTTATTGCAATTTATTATATGAAATATGCAGAGGATTGTTTACCAGTTTTTTTAGTACAGGAGAACAAAGTCAGAGCTCGTGCAAGCTAGATTTCAGTTCGTGTTGTTCCATTTTTGTAGCGAGGAACCCATTTTGGACACATGGGACTGAAGTAGCTGGACACGACCCTGGAATTCAGCAGGTCAACAAGGGGTGCAAACTTCACACACAGGGGTGTCTTGTATTGGTTCATGGAAGCACCTAAGCTAATGCAGTAGTCCATGAGATTGTCAAAAGTTCCGATTTCCACCACCCTGATTTCCAGAGGCCCGATGGATTTATCAGACGCACGACCCTTGCGATAGAAGGAGTTTAGAGATTCTTCAATTGTGAGGCAACAATCTTCAAAGACTGAAGGAGGAATTGGGTTAGATCCATTCACTCTCAGCTCCCAGAACAGGACATAGTGGCTTGGAATGGTGGCAATATCGACATAGCTGGTGTACTCGGTTACATGTGCATCAAAAGGAAACAGATTGCCTGCTGCATTTTGTAGCTCAACTTCATTAGTCTTGTCATCATCAATGCTCAAAACTACATTTTCCCGGCATAGGAAGTTGAATTGAGGCGCATTGTTCTTGTATCCAGCAACCCGAAGCACATCACTGACTCTATATCTATAGAGTCCTGAAATGGGCACAAGTTCAAGCTAAGCTCCAGTAAATGGAAAAAGCAAAAGAAAGTATGTCAATATATAGGGATATCTATTTGGCATTTGAATATTACCAGAATATGTGGTAACGACAAGCTCGTACTCCTGGCCAATCTTGACATCAGCCAAATCGACCAATTGTTGTTGCTCTTTCTTGGTAAGTGACTTGGGCATGGAGATAGAATTGATGACTCCATCGCTTACCTGATTTGGTAAGAACTCAAAATAGGCCATGGTGCGAATAAGGGTGTAAGCGACTTCACTAGGCTTACAAAAAGGGTTCAAGTTGATTCCGAAGGAGCATTCTGAGGCAATATACATGGTATTGACAAGAGGGAGGCTATTGCTGTAATAATCAAGGGTGGGTATATATTGTGCCATGGTTCCAGTCACAGTAGCATTCACATACGTGGCGTTGGGCCACAGTCTGGTAATGATCCCTTTCCATGAATCTCTGCTGCATTCAGCCTCGATAAAATCAGCTAACTTTGGATCAGGTTTGAGGATTTCCATCACTGCATCTCTCACTGAAGGATCAGTTATAGAGGCATCAACACTTCCTGTCCGGATATCTTTACAAAGCAGAGACCAGTGCTTCTCCAAGAACCTGATGGCACGGATGAAGGTAATCACGAAAAAGGAGCCAACATGGAGAACTTGCTGGTTTTGGCAGAGGCCACAGAGCATTTGGGAGTACATGCTTTGGTAAGAGTCTGGGCAGAGAATTGTTGCAGTTGGACTAGTGCGGTCATTTTGATGATGGTTGTAGTCGAAATAAGGACTCTTGATCATACTCGTTGAAAGAGCGCGAGCTGTTAATCCTCCCGGAGTCTTCTCTTCAGACTTTATGAACATGAGATACATTGCTATGCCATTTCCATAATTTGGAACTGCTTGTCTCATCACAGACATCTGAAGCTTCACAAGCTGAAATCTCCTCCCAAGCTCTCCCTCTGTGGTTGGTATCAATTTGCTCTCCCCTCCAGATGTTCCAGTACTGCATGCACATCCAAATATTTGTCGCACCATGAGGTCTCAGGTTCAATTTTCATAGAGGGGAAAAAAAACACAAGCTAAGTGGACGAAAGTTTTAGAATTTTCAAAAAAATGAGTGCACTGTTACAAAGAGGTGGATTAAGGATATAAAGTTGACGTATCGTTGCATTCATTACTACTACAACAATAACATACCCAGGGTAATCCCAAAAGTAGGGAGTCGAGAGGATAATGTGTATGCAACCTTATTCCTACCTTGTGAAGGTAGGGAGACTATTTCTGATAAACCCCCGACTTAAATAACACAGTAAAAGTCAATTGTGTAAAAAAAGAAAAAGAAGCAACAACAAATAATAAAACAACCGAAGCAAAGGAAATAACAGGTAGTAATACAATTGAAGAGTTTACACTTTACCATGTACGATAATGACTATGTAAACTGACTCGAACGCCAAAAAACGAACCTTGCAAGTAATTCAGAGATGGGTTGGGAGCAGAGGATTGGAGATTTATCACCATTGACAATACGATTGATATGGGGCTGAATATCTTGGTAAGTGATGACAGGTATGAGTTTCTTGAATGTGTCTCTATCAGTGTGACCATTGAGACCATGACCCTACAAGCAGAGGCGACAAAATTAGTCTATGAAAATATGATTCGTTAAGAATTGAACGGATTGGGTTAATTACTCTCTTCAAAGCTCATTTGAGCCTAACTTATTTCAACTCAAGTAACTTTTGGGCGGTTTATTAACATCAACCTACTAACTTTATCCCTACCTTGAAAAATAGAGATGTTGTTTGCAATAGATTTTCAGTTCAAGTAAAAGCATTACCAAGCGAATAGAAAAAAGACAACAATAGGAACAAAGATGCCGAGACGAAATACTAAAGAAAACATGACAAAGCATAAAAAAGAACAAAAAATGAACATAACTACAACAAAATAATACGATAGTCGAACCACAAGAAACATTAACTAGTAACAAAAATGGAATAACAAGAAAAGACATGAGTAACACTACGACTACTAGTGTGAAAGTATTTAGCCTGATTACTGACGCTGCTCATTTATTAACTTAACTTATTTTAATCTGTTCAAATTCAACTCAATCTGTGAATAACAAGAAATGACATGAACAATACTATGACTACTAGTATGAAAGGAGTTAGCCTGATTATTCACCTGTCTATTAATCTATTATTAACTTAACCTATTTTAATATGCTCAAATTCAATTCAACCCGCCCATTTAACACCCAATCTACCTGCAAGTACTCAACATGAGCATTTTGTGAGAGGATTTCAGCAAGAACATTTTTTTGGACCTCATCAACATTGCTCGTCACCTCTTCAATGAACTCAAGGTCCTTTTTGTAGTCACTTATGCTTTTTTTTCCATAATACTAAAGATGAATTATTTGAGAATTTGGTTGTAGACATGTGTCAAGTGGAGCTTTATATAGATGAAGTATTTGGTTTTTTATTACTTTACTACTAAATAGATAAAATAATATAACGTATCTTGCCCAACCTACAACATGGTTGTATATTGTAAAAAATTATTCGTACTTACCTTTTATATCAAGTTAGATGCATGTTCATATCAAGTTATTAATGATACTGAATATTCACAAGATCAAAACAAATCAAGCAACAAATTTGCACTCAATCAAAAAATTCCATAAAAATAGCAATCAAGTCAAGTTAGGCATTATAATAGTCGATGAAGTGGTTTAGAGTTATGAGGACAAAAAAGTACTATGTGATTCTTCCTATCTGTCCTTGCCTAGATCGACAAAATAATTTGATAATATTGCTGGTGGGACGATCATTAAAAAAATCAAATTAATAATAGTAACTAATTCTTATATATCAAATCACTTGATTTTAGGAATGATATGAAATTCGATCATATGCTTAAGTTTAGAGTAGCATATGATTAAAACTTTTAAAAAGTAGTTAGGTGTAAAACAATATTAAACACATCATTACTATAAAAGGATAATTTGACTAAATATTTTCATTAACTTATCCATTTTTTCCCCTCCTCGATAATAAGAGTACTCTACCAATATGCATGATTAAATTATTTAATTCAATTTAGAAAAATTAAAAACCAAACAAATCGGACTTGATCAATTCTCGTCTACTCCACTAGACTAAATCTTGAATTACAATCCATTGGAATTCCTTTTTTATTAGTTTGTTATATTGATATAACTGTCAAAAATATATCTGACGTATTTTTAAAAAAATTATCATCAATTATTTATCAAAATATATCTTGACTAGTATTTCATGATGCATGATATACAATCTCTTCTTTTTTGTTTAAAATGATCTAAAATGACGCTCCATGCAATTAGTTAAAGGGATTATCTGGATTTCATTTTTTTTAATAAGAAAAGAGTTTTGAAGAGATAATAGTTAAAAATACACACATGAAATATCAATTTTTCTGAGTTTTTAGTATGAATTATCATGTGTCTGCGTGTTGCTATTTAGATTATCACCAATTATTTATTAGAACACGTCTCGAAATTAATTAATGAGTCAGCTAACATGTAAACAATTTTTTATGAACAAACTAAGTTATTATGCACCTTTAAGTAGTTATATTCAAATACTTGATTTAGTCAAGTTTGAAAGATATTTTAATAACTAATTACAAGTGATAATTCAATTAAAACACATACAAACATATAATAATTCATACATGAAACTAAAAATAAAATAAAAAATCAAGTATGTTTTTGTTTATTATTTCTTAATTATATTATTTATTTCCTCTCTTACTCACCTAATCTTTTTGGCCTTGGAGCTAAAGTCAAAATACAAATATCCACCGCGTGTCCACTTAGGTGCGCTTCTGTCGTAGTCGAATTTATAGCTACGTCTATCAATTAGAAATATCTATTTACTTCTCTACCCCTCTACATGCATGCAATTACGACAATATCTTTTACGATACGAATTTCATATCTCAACTATTTATATTAAAGTATTTTTATTTAATAGCTGAGATATCAAACTCGCGAAAAAATCATGGTATATAAAAGGGAAGAATAGTATTGTTTTGTGCAGTCTTTGGATTTGCAAAATCCGCGGTAACTTAACGAAGAAGAGAAGTGGCAACCGCGTAAATAATACCCAATTCCAGGACCTTTCTACTAGTACAAATTTATATGATTTGTCTATTTATAAAACCACAGATTTTTTTATTTTTTTTTCTAATTTACAAAAAATTATCTTTTTCATTTTCTCTCTCTACCTTTCCAAAAATGTCCGGTTACCCGCACAATGTTCCCGGCTACGGTTACGGCCAGCCACCGTCATCTCAGCCGTATTCCTCCACCCCATACGGCGCCCCACCACCGTCTTCAGCCTCACCATACGGTGCTCCACCTCCGTCTTCATCATCACCCTACGGTGCTTCACCATCACCTTACGGTGCTCCACCACCGCATTCATCATCACCCTACGGTGCTCCACCTCCTCAATCTCACTCCCCTTACGCTCCCGTTCCGTCTACCTACGGCGCCGGAGCACCGCCTTACGGTGATCCGCATAAACCCCCAAAAGAGAATAAACCACAGTCTTCATCGCCTTACGGTGGGGCAGGAGCAGGGTACCCTGCCCCACCTCCTTCGGCTCCTTACGGTGATCCGAACAAACCACCGAAGGATAGCCACTCACAACCTTCTGCTCCTTATGGTGGATACCACGCGCCACCTCCTGCTGGGCCTTATGGAGCTAGTAGCCCTTTTGCATCTCTCGTGCCCTCTGCTTTTCCACCGGGAACCGATCCGAATGTTATAGCATGTTTCCAGCTCGCGGATCAGGATGGGAGTGGGTTAATTGATGATAAGGAGCTGCAGAAGGCGCTTTCTTCGTATAATCAGAGCTTCAGCTTGAGGACTGTTCATTTGCTTATGTATCTCTTTACCAATACCAACACTAGAAAAATCGGTAATAATCTTAATTCCAAATAATTGAGCTCAAAATTCACTTATGAAATGTTTCAATTTTTGCCATCTATAGTAGTAGAAAAGGATTGAATTGATGATGAATTTCGTGCTGAAAATGTTAGGTTGTGTACAATTATTAATAACTATATGCAGTATACAGTTGATTTGTGACTGAGGGTGGTTGAAAAAGGTCATTTGGAGTAATTATTTGTAATAAAGAAGTAATTTTGATTAAGACTTAAGGGGTTGCTGGTATGACGGATGAGGGATAACAGTTCTGTGATTATTTTATCCTGCATTTGCTTAGGAGTATTAGTTAGTTCCACGGATAAATATATGGCGGATAATTTTGTGTATCCCATACGTTATACCAAACAACCCCTTATAGTTGTATTGGTGGGTCATCCTTAAGTGTATGTTGGCCAGGATGATATGACCTAGAACAGGCCTATAAGGCTTTGGTATGGCCATTGAAATTCCTGTATGAATTGCTTTTTATGTCCTTGTCCAGGATTACGTGGAATCTATTGAGTTTGATGTTCCTTGAGTTGATGACTACCTGGCCATTTTACGTATTCTGAATTGGCCATGTAATGAACCAGTGTCATCAAGAGGGAGAAGTGTGAAAAGACCCTCTTGGTCCATTGATGGGGGAATGCAGGATGGGGTTTCCATATAAAGAAAGAAATAACATTTTTTCAGCATGGAGATCTTACACAAAGCAGATTGGACGTTCCTATTACTTATGGAAGTGGTGTTCTCAATTGAGCATTATCTTGCTTAATTTAACACTGTCTTGTACTATTAGTTCTCTTTGAAAGGAACAGAAGCAAGTCTGTGACAATATGGTGATAGTGGCCGAACTTCCATTTATACTTCTCTCTTATTTCCCCTCTCTTCCTTTCTCCTTTCCTTTTTGAATTTTTCTCTCATTAGAACACACGTTTAGCCATTAGGGTGGCAAAACATGACTGCCTACATAAAATGCAACTTCGTACATTGATTGTACTACTTAGAAATTTTAGTTTCAGCATCTGATAGTAAATGATTGTGTGCTAACATGTGCTCTAGAGTCTAGACTTCCTTTTTCCTCTACGTTTTTTCAAGAGGAAAGATGAATGCAGAACTATTCCCTTTTATTCTATATTTTTTATTCCAGATGTTATTGGTTTTTGAAGTTAATCAAGAGCATCATTTAATAATGTTGATCGAATTTGAGTTGGAGATATACCTTTATGAAGCTTTTTTCTTTGTTGAGCATATAGATCTTTCCCTTTTTCTTTTTTCTACCTGTTGACCTATTTTCTGCCCTGTAAGCAGGTCCCAAAGAATTCACTTCAGTGTTTTACAGTCTTCAAGAATGGAGGGTAAGTTAAAGAATCTTTTACGGTCACCTTTGCACTTCTTTGTGTTCTCCATTTTGCTTGGAATTTTTTTTTTCTTTCTATGGCAGTTGATTGGAACTTCCTGTGTAATGCAGGGAATTTTCGAGAGATTTGACAGGGATAGGAGTGGAAAAATTGATTCATCTGAATTGAGGGATGCATTACTTAGCCTGGGATATGCTGTATCACCTTCTATCCTGGATTTGCTGGTCTCCAAGTTTGACAAAACTGGTGGAAAGAATAGAGCCATTGAATATGATAACTTCATCGAGTATGTTTGTGCATCAATGCAAATCTTTCTTCGTATTGTTCTCATATCTTTATATCTTCTCTTTTGTTCTATGCTTTGCTAATTTGTTCCTTTTGTGCTTTCGTTTTCTTTGCTTGATGCAGGTGCTGCCTCACTGTTAAAGTAAGCTTACAGTATCTTCGTCTATTCTGGCATTCATATACCATTCTATTTGTTCAGATAGGTGCTTTTCTCACATACACTTTCATTTCTTTTGCAGGGGCTAACTGAGAAATTCAAGGAGAAGGATACTTCATATTCCGGCTCTGCTACGTTCACTTATGAGTCCTTCATGCTAACAGTATTGCCTTTCCTGATCGCTTAGAGACGAGGCATATGAATTTCACAATTACGGGTGGTCTTACTATGACTTACCAGCTTCGTTTTCGTTTGTTTTCAGGAGAGATGTTTGCTTCTGTTAGTTTTTGTAAACAGTTTTCAGGGTGAAGTTGAATGACTTACTTGTAGAAGTCTAGTGTGTTTTACATCAGTTAATGGGATATTATCAAAACTAAATCCTTTGTGTTTCTTTTGATGTGTTTACTATTCAATCATAATGTTGACGACTTAAAAGAGTCTATTTGGATAGACTTATTTTATTTATTTTTTTAAAAAAACAAATCTATTTTAAGGAACCCAAAAAGGCTAATTTATCTTTATTTTAAGGTTAAAGGGTTGTGCTTTATTTATGTGGAGTTTATTTGGTATTGAATTACAATATAAGACTTTTCAGAATAAGGTAGCCCTATGAATTAAAAACAACATAAAGCTGGAAGAACGACAAGAATGATAACACTATTAGACCTCTTATATTCTTATGAAGATAGATTTGAATGCATATTCATTCAATTGTTAAGATATTGTCTTCCAATTTGATTATGCATAGTGATTTACTAGG